GCAGCAGGCAGGGAAGCCCCTCTACCATGGCACTCTCCTGCAACTCCTCCAAGCAAGCCAGCCAGCCATCCGTGCCGACTTGCCTACCTACCAGGCCTCAGAGTAGGCCCCGGCACACCGCAGTTCCATCCTGAATCGAAATGGTCGCTTTGCTTTCCGTGCTTTGCGCGAATCACGCAAGGCCCTTCGGGCACGCTTCGCTTCGGGGGACCGAAAGGGGTCCCCACGTGCTGGATTTTGCCTCCGGCTGCACCGTCGATAAAGAAGTTTAAAATGTCATACATGTCCCCTGCAACGATCTGGCTAACAGTCAAGGTCCATGGGATAAGCAAGCGATTGTGGTATCGCGACAGGTTATTGAAAATCAGACTGCGGTAATCCGAATTCTCGTTTTACGAGACGATATCACGTGACAATATACGAACCGTTCAGAAGCCATATTGATCAACTGCATTAATTGAAAAGCAAAGAACCGTGACAGTGTTGCAAAAGCTACTTTCTTAAATTTACCTTCGAATCTATATTGCATATACCATCTTTGTCTCAATAAATAAATTTACGAAGGCAAATCATATGTCGTTTAAGAATCGAAGTTTAATCTTGTACCTATGTAATATATAAAATTGAGAAATCGATAAGAAATGATTCCAGTCAGTTTCGTTTCTAAGAGATTCATACGATATTGATAAAGGAGTAAGATTATAACTAGCTTAAAACAGCTTAATTCGATTTCACTTCCTTATCGAGAAAATGGCGGTCCGAGCTTCTTTAGATTCTTCAGGAGTATCGGTTTCGTGATTAAAGCCTTTTCGATCGACTCTACCAGCACCTGTTCCTGACTGTACGGCGGAAATGGCATTCCCTCAAGATTATACACATATACAACACCTTCCACATCCGCCGCCACGAGTTGGTTACCATTTGCCGTAAAATCAACCATAATAAATCTGTTGGTATTGGGTGACGTTGTCACCGATGCAGGTTTGTATATCTTTCGTCTGATATCCCATATACAGATCTCGTTATTGACGATGCTTACTATGATCGTGGAATGGACGGGAGACCAGGCTGCGTATCGAACGCATGCCATAGTTGTGGACATAGTAATCAGTGGATCTGTCAATCCTTCTGCCCAGATTCGAATGCACCAGTCGGCGCCACAGGTCAGGAAGATTTTTGAACAAAATGGAGAGAACATCATCGAGTAAATTGGTCCATCGTGCGCTAAAAAACTGTCTATATGTTGATATAAATAATTCGTGGAGCATTTGTAGATACAACCTTCGTCCGTACCCACGAAATAAATGGTACTCAAAGTAGGATGCTTCCGTAGTGACAATGCCCCAGGGCTTCGACTGATTGATGTATTATAAAGGTTACACTGAACAGTCCTAGTGACACCCGGCAACGTTCCCTCTATCCTGTAAACCTTCATAATCATCGACGAAGTGAAATCTTCAACGTATCGATAGCAAAATACGCAACCGTCCTGATTGCACGTATAAATTTGTTCTTGGTATTCGTATTGCTCGTCACCTGGCCACCACTGAACTTGCCAGTGCGGAGAAGTCGAAAATGTAGCTTTCTCGCTTCGCCGTACGACATTGAGATCTGGATTGCTTACGTCGATCACCTTGATTTCGCCGTTGTAGTAACCGATAGCAAGTAAATTCGGCCGTTCGCGACTCCAATCGAGGTCTGACACCGGACTGTCAAAACTGTAATAACGAGCCGGTACACCAGGATTCTTCGCAGACCAAAGTAACACCAAGCCATTTTTAATTTCTGAATTAATCCGTGCCCCGTATCCTACGGCTAGAATGCTTCTGTTAACGTAATTCCAGCAGAATGAAGATACTGGTCTTCCCGAAGTTTCTTCAGAATCGTGAATCCAGAGGAGGTCTGGACTGTACGTGAACTCCAAATCAAGGCTACATGGATCCTGTTTAATCAGGCCGGTGAAACGCTTTTGAGCGTGAATGAAAATGTTGTTCGATATTATACGCTCCATTACTCGTACGGCATTCCGGAAATTGATATGTTGGAATATATATATCTGCTCTTGTTCGGAGGTCTTCTTCTCGTAAATTTTTGATTTTGGTAGTTTAGCTTTCAAAGTCTACGAAAAGAAAATTAAACTTAATTGTTTGGTGTGTCTGTAAAGAAAATAAGCCTTTTATGATACTAAAAACTATTCAAACCTTTGATTGCAACATTTCTTGCAAAGATTCCTTTCTATGCACGACGAGCAAACCATTTCTTTCAATCATCAATTCAGGGGCACCATAAGCGTCGTACATCACCCAATTATTCACGAACATACCTTGATTTTTACGCCTCCTTCTGCTAAGGTGTGTTCCTCGAGATTTTGTAAGCACTTGCATGGTTTGAGTTTCGGTATCTATTAATTTCCTATTCGAACCAGGTCCTATCGTTTTATATTCGTAATTCTCGTTCTGTTCTTTAACCGCTATACCATCTGGCGTAAGTAAGTCAGCAGTTCGAGGCTGTATATCGAAAATGAAGAACGTCTCCGTTTCCCTCAAAGTGAGCGTCACAGTATCGGGTCGAATTAAGAGAATATTTGGATCTTCGCTGAATAGGCCAAAAAATGTCGAGGATGTAATTTCTATTCATTAATGTGAAATTATAATAAAATGTCAATTATAATAAAACATTAATATTAATTCTTTGTGGATCTGATATGTGTATAATTTATTTATACAAATAAAAGTCATATATGTACATGTTCATGTATATTTTTATTAACATCTTTAAATAATAGATACGTCCCCAAAGAGTCAATACGTATCATAATCCTAATAACAGCCTTAAAATGCTTAAAATACCTTATTTTATAAATTATAAATTAGCTATTTAATGTTTTTAAAACACCTTTTTGAACTATGTATATAAAATTTTATAATATCTAATTATAATACTCGTACCCAAAATTACCTAGGTAGATAAAATTGAGGGGGAACTTTATCTTCATCATCATCATCATCATCAAAATCATCTGTTTGAGTGGATAATAAACTTTCAAACAGAATATCATCCGTTGTCATCGAACCGGAAGGAACTGAGGAGGTTCTGATGATCATAGAGGAACTTTCTTTCACTGCAATGCTTAAACCGGAAAGGATGGACAGTGTACCGACACTGCCGGTCTGGGATAATCCGATTGTTTCGAATGCAGTTATCTGTTTCTCGTCAAGCGAACTGTAGGTTGGATGGCTTAGTAATTTTGGAGTGACATCAACGTCATCCTCTATCACACGGAGTGCCTGACGTTGTTGTAAAATAACTGAGGTTAGGTTTTTGCCCGCGATCTTACGCGTCTTTCCTGCTGCGTTGAGCTTAAACTTCGACGAAATTGGGCTTTCGAATCTGCTGCTTTGATCCCTCGAGGTAATTTGTGGAGATCCTACTTCGTTTACTTTCATTCTGACAAATAATAGTTTTCATGTTGTTATACCTTCTATCACACGTCTGTATATACATTTACTAAAACTTGGTAAAAGATTTCATTTCGTTGATACCTGTAACTGTACTGGATTATCCACAAGCAAATAGAATAATTACGAAGTATTGAAAATTAAACCATGTATACTTTGGCATTATATCATGCTGAAAACCAGTCTCATTAATTGCGCCTTTTATTTTTCATGTTGAATGCTTTTACTTTGTTATTAGACCATTTCGTCATGTTACAATGGAGAACGTATTGAACCGTACAGTCGTTTTCAATTCCATGGTGATAATAGAAATCAATTTTAGACACAGTTTTGTCGATATTTTGGACTGTTTATAAAAATTGTTACCTTTTAATTGTATAATACAATGTTAATAAATATACATGAATTTTGAGTAATTTGTTATTTTTCTACATGTGATTTATGGAAACTATTAATGTATGATTAAATGATTGATTAAATTCATTAATTTACTTATATGTCTTTTCATTTGATACATTGGCATTAGGATCATCAATCAAGTAATTAATATAAAATGAAAAAATGTTTATTATAAATACACATTGTTTTTTATTATTATATATTTATGTAATAATATTTTTCATTTAAATTGCATCTATCGCGCGCTCTCTTAGTGTATCTCAAAAGCTAATCGAATCGTATCACATGTACAGTCGATAAAAAGAGATTTTGCGATTGTGTTACGGCGTTAATCAAGTAGTGGATTTAAATAATCATATTAAGATTACGGCAGAATATTTGTAACGGTAGTCGAAGTTACAGTTGGAAATAATAAAACGCAAGCCGTTCGTACTAGCAATTGTCAGCGATAACATTACCATAGATAAATACAAACGCATTGCTGACAAATCTCTTACGTGTAGTTTCGAACATCCGCTTCGTGAAAAATCATGAAAATCATTTGATAGGACTTGCGCAATTGCGGTTACGGTGAACGTGATATATCAGATCATTTTGGAAGCAGAGTTAAGTTTGCAGAAGAATATATCGCTGACGGAGACTCCGCAGTCAAAAGGCTAAAGTAAGTGACATGAATTGTGTCAGCAATGGCAGATACAACTCCATTAGTATTTTGATCAGGCTTTCGATCTCTGGTTGCCAAACACCACCTAGTGAACGTTAATCGCTGTTCAATATTCAAATAATATTTTCAACAAGTATCATTTCATATGTGACAGCTTATTGCTTTCTGTAGGGAATATACTAAACACAATTAATTTTTCTTGTATCTTGACTTTTGCGTTTCTATCGTAGACATATGACATATGACTTCCGATTACACGGATACATAATACGTCAGACAGTACTGAATTCAGAAAAATACGATGTTAAAATAACTATAAATGGAAATTTCATATTTATACGAACTGCATAACCTTTAACATTTTACGTTTTCGAGGAATGTCATTGATTTCTTAAAATAGTTTTTTGACATTTACGTTTATACAAAATGTCAGTGATTTCGTAAAATTGTTTTTCTTTCCATGCGATAGTGTCGTCAGTGTCAGGTGATAAGAAATATACATATATTGTTCAAATCTTGTTTTGCTTCATATTGTTGTATATCAATACAAATTAATGTTATACAATTTTTAATTTTTACTTGTTAAGTTATATGTGGAAGCATTTTTACATTTTAAATAAACAACCTTTTAAATTTTGGTATCTTGTAAGCTCTTGTTAAGATCAATTGTATTTCCATTAAGAGTTCTTCGATATGAGTGCCACAAGGGAACAAGCAGGGCCATCCAAACCATGGGATTCTACCACAGAAGAAAAGGAAAAGGATAATCGAACTTTTGAATGCAATATATGTCTTGATACTGCAAAAAATGCTGTTATCAGCATGTGTGGTCATTTATTTTGGTAAGGCTATTGTCAATATATTATACGTTTATAGTATCTTTTATGTTTCAATATCTTTGTAATAACAGATATCATATCATACATTTATATATGTACTTATTTGTATGTTTAGTTGGCCTTGTCTGCATCAATGGTTAGAGACACGTCCAACAAGACAAATGTGTCCTGTCTGTAAAGCTGCGATCAGCAAAGATAAAGTCATTCCATTATATGGACGTGGAGATACGAAACAAGAAGATCCAAGGTATATTATATTTTTGTTTCTTATAATTATATATGATCGATTTGACAACATATTTAATGTTATATTTTATTGTTTTAGGAATAATGTTCCACCACGCCCTGCTGGGCAAAGAACAGAACCTGAAAATAATATTGGATTTTCTAGTTTTGGGTTTGGAGAAGGTTCTTACATGTCATTTGGTATCGGAACATTTCCATTTGCATTTTTCACATCTACATTTAATTTTGGAGAAACACGACCAACTGCAGGTAAAATGTTCTTCACAAACTAACTTTATGTGTATGATTACTGTCTAATAAGATTGAATTAAAATATGTATTTTTACATAGCTGCTAGAGGAACACCGCAGTATGAAGAAGAACAATTCCTTTCGAAAGTATTTCTATGGGTGGCTTTGATATTTGTTTGTTGGCTCTTGATGGCGTAACATTTTGTTAAACCATATTACTTGCTCCGTATCTTGTAATCCTACACCACTTGCTGAATTGATTCATTACATTTTTATTAATACATCGATCTTTCCTCGTTTGTGTAATCGTTTGTTACTCACTACAGTAACTATACCTGCTTGAATAAACAAATGGATTTTGTCAGAGCTATAATAACACTTTTATTTGTACGTATACACATATATACACATGTATTTTATTTGTACATAAACAAGTATATTCAAGCAGATAGTTTTCTTGTTTTTAGGATTTCTGAAACCTATTCTTATGATATTTATGTATATATTACTTTTAGATACGTAAGATATATCTACTCTATGCAAAACATTTACAATTGGTTTAAAACAAAAACCCAGTGATTACATTTATTATATCAAAGTGGACCTATACGGTTTTTACTAATTATTAATATAAATAGTGTATATATAATCTATAGTTTTTTAAACAAATTAATAACAAACGCAAAGTAAACAGAATAAAAATAAATATATCGCTATATAATATATAATACTGTAATATATCATTATTATCAATGAAAGTATGTATACTAGTAGTTTATAAATCTAGCTTATTTATTTTTCTGCTTTTATTTGTATTGTGGTTATGGAAATAGAGGGAAAGACAATTACAAAACCGGAAAATTATGATCATATAGTCAAAGAAGCCAAGTTTTTTTGTATTCTTATTCAATGAGTGACAAATTATTATACTGAATGGATACCAACATTCCATATACAGTACTGGGTACAGATACTGGAAAGTTAATTGACTTGAAAGTGTAACGTTTTTAATTTAATTTAATATCGTTGTCATTCGTTAAATATAATTCGTAATTTTTTAAAAATCTAATATTGTAAACTATCTTACATGTTTATTTAATATGTTATTGCTAAAATAAATTAAAGGTGAAAAAATGTAACTAACGTTCTTTTGATGAAATCCTTTAAACTTCTGTAGCTATAGCTTTTATTAGAGATAATAGTAAGTATACATATTTAATAACACAAACAATTTAATTGCAGTGCACTGTAATATTTCGAACATAGGTAGATACATGACACAAATTAAAATAGTAAATTATTCTACATAAGTTATTGAATGTATGTTAGGTAATTTTGTTATAATATTATATCTTTGTCTTTCACTTTGTGCAAATTTTTTTATCTCCAGCTTTTTGTTTGTCTTCTGTGTCTTACATAAATAATTCAATGTAGCAGTAAAAAAGAAACAATATTGTGCAAATTATGACTAAAATAAATATGCACAGGATACCCTACTACAGAAGTTTCAGTTGTATCAGAAGCTGTCACAAATAAAATTATTTTTATTTGTAGTGAAATAAATAATTAATTCGAAATCGTCATTAAATTCTAGTTTCTTTTAATGCACTATAGTACATTAGTTATATCCATCCTTATTTATTAAGAGTTTATTAATTTTGTTCATAAAATATTTTTATTTGTCCAAGCCAGACAACTAAAACTTTTGAGTAAAGAAACCCAAGCATCCCATAATGATCAATTTTGTCACATTATGGATCTAGTAGTTATATCACAGATTGCAGCTCCACAGGGAGATAATATAATACTCCCTCATCTATGTGAAAATGAGGTACTCAAAGACAGTAACTTGTGCATCAAAAAGTCCTTATATTGTTTACTATTTTGTGCTCTAATTAATTTTCAACTATAAACTATTTAACAGAGTGCAATATATATATACATGTACATATATATAATGCTCCCTTTTTAATACTTTACATATACCAACTTTGGACCTGAATTATATCTACTACCTCTTTACGGTAATTAGTATTTATTAAAATTCAATTTAATTTAGAAAGGTAGTAAGTACCTGTTTCTATTTATAAATAAACATAAAAACATACTACAATCAACAAAATGGTCATGATTATATCCATGATTATATTCATAGACATGATTATCAGAATAAGTCATTTTGTAACAGATATTGTAAAATGATTTTTTAAATTTACAGATATTTATTTATACACACTTCATTTATTTTTATATCTCATCTTTTGATGCCTTTTTCGTAAAGCCTTTAGAAATTAAGAGATTATTGCATTCTTCCCGTGTCAAACTTGACAAAGGTAATCTCTCTATTTCCTGAAAAGTGAAAACGTTCAATTATCTTACATAATACTCGTGTATTAAATTTATTGTACCTCTTCATTATCATTAAAGAGAAGCAGTTCTGGAACTGCACCTGGAATATGTTTAAATTCAACGTTATTACTAGGAAAAGTTATAAGGATTTATACAATTAACTCTTATTCTTCACAAAAGAAATTGTAATTAGGTAGAATTAAATAAAGATTTTTTTAATATTATAAGATAGTTATCTTTCACACATATGTAAACATTATATTACAATGTATATAGAGTAAAAGTTTAAATATGATAAAAACAATGAAGACTTAAAGAAATTAAGTATTCCACATTCAAAATTCTTGTGTAATATTAATTATCCGTTTTTGATCATAAATGAGATACTTCTGAAGAAGTAAAATCAAAAAGTTGATTCTTTAACTGAAACGACTTTTATCATATTTTTGTAATATATG